AAGGCAGAAGATCCTCCTCACGATGAGAGAGGAGAAAAGAGGCAACGGTGAACAGGGAAGAAGGGGGGGGGGGGGGGAGAGAAAAGGAAGTGAGGGAAAAGTGGAAAGCGCGAACTGGTCGTCGGTCTTTAAGCCGACAAAAAATAGAAACATCATATTGTTGCGAATAAGCCGCTACGGATAAAGAAATAAACTTGATTATAGTCGCTGATAGTTTAAGAAACGAGGGCGTGGCGAGTCCCTATACTCTGTTTCACCTTATGATGTACCGCAGGAAATGCTACAAGCGCGAGCTCCTTGCTCAGGGCACAGTCTTGGCGGCACAAGCTCTCGTGCATTAAGGGCAGCTGCCAACGCTATGAGCTCCCGCTCCTAGCCTTCGCTGCGGTATAACATAAGGTGAAACGGAATATAGCATATCACTACGGTTCCGTAGCCAATTAGGTTCTTGCTATTGAAGGAACCCACCTAGATTGCCTCAGTTGTGGAACTCCCGCGGCGGGGGATACCCTCAGTCAGTTCGGTTCGACTCCCGTCGTTTGAAACGCCACCTAGATTTTAGTTTCAAAACTATGTGTTCGAAAGAGTACGGTGAAACGCCATCTAGACGCTTAGCTTCGACACATAGGTATTTCATAATTCCATAGAATACACTGCATATACCACAGCAGCCGTGCCCCCAGAAACGTCATGACCCTCTCCTCTGGGACAAGCCCAGGGGAGAGGGTCGCGCAACTAGCGTCTATTGACAGCTCCGTAACTTAGCTAATCTAGTAAAGTTGAAGCGTTGCACGTGACGTCGTGGCACCACACCAGTCGCCGTTGCTCAGTACCAAGCTGCTGTGCCCGTACTTTCTGCAGCATACGTTTGATGTATGCTGCCGATGGCACGGGCGCAGGAGCATGGTACGGAGAAGTGGTGGCTGACGTGACGTCAACGCAAGCTATGTATAGTAATTCCCTAATCACCTAACTGGTTTCAATAGTTCGCGTAAAGTGAAAAAGGCTAAGACAAAAACGGATTAACCAAAAACAAGAAAGCCGCATGGGATGGAAATTTGCTGATTATAAATCGTTTTCTTTTCTTTTTAATGAGGTCACGTAGATATAACAGTAGGATTTTGTTTTTCAGACTACCACAGCTAAAACAGGAACCAGAAAAATGTGAATCATTCAACTGAAAATCAGACTAATCAAAAGATCGTGCAATATATTCGGTTCCCGTTGAAGTGACAACTGCCAGCAACAATTATTCCACATCTAAAACAGCATTTGTATTGGCTAACTCAGGTCCCTATCCATAACCGGACTAGGCGGAAGCAGAAAGACACCAAAGATAAACTAAAGTGCTTTCTGCTCAAAGGCGTCACTATATTTTTTGTTTCTTGTCTCTATGTGTTAACCGTTCTTCCTAAATACCCACCAGATAATCGTGATGCACTTTCTTCCTAAATATTTCATTCGTTTCCATTTACCATCTCTAAGCCGCCGCGCATGTCTAAGCACAGCAAAGTTCGTTTTTGACCGCCAATATAGGCTCGAATTCCGCAAATATTGAAAGTGAGCGCAATCAGTAAAGGTATAGAAACAAACGGAAATTTCAATAGGAAATCATAACAAAGGAATCGATTTAGGGCGCCATTAAATTGAAATAATTTTTCTTTACTTCTTTTACACATCTAATTCGATGCCGGCTATTGCTTTTAAATTCTAAAACGTGTCGTCGCACAGCACAGAGGACGTTCATAACAACGGAGGACGTTCACAGCACCTAGACATCTGGCTTTTGAAAAATGTATATATCTCAAACACCAAAATCCTTGCAGGTCTGCAGATGCGAAAAACATGTAGTATTCCAAACAATGCAAGCCTATCTCGTCTCAATTCAATTGGAGTGCACTTATAGATAGATTAAGAACTAAAAAAATGGACTGTGCTTTCATTCATTCATTGTTTACGAAGACTCTCAGGATCGGTACTGCAAAAGTGACAGATATTGGTTTAAAACCTTGGTTGTAGAAGTATCTTTAACCGGTGTCTGACTTTATGCAGAGTTTCTAAATTGCGCGTTAAATACCTAAATAGCACCAGGATTCGTAATTTTTTTAACTGCTTTTTTTTAGAAAATTTCTCCTTCGTTTTTACTACAGCAAGATATAACTTTCAGTTTATCATTGAATTTCGTAATGTCATATATGTTTTCACTGTCGTCAGCCCTGTATCTCTTCGTGCTGCTGTAGCTAAGAGCTTTGACAAGGCAGCCCTTCTTTCAGAATACACACACTCCAGACACTTGAAAAGGCCTCACCAGCACATTCAGGTCACAAACATATATATAACATATAACAGCCACAAAAGTGCACTGTCACAATCTACGTTGAGGGTGTCCCGTTTTTCTCCGTCCCCATAATGCCGCCCAGTGAAGTAGGTACACCTCTGGGATCAGAGCACTAGTGGGGATAGATGCATTACGGGAAAACTCAGGCACGGACAGCGCTGCGTCCGTTCTACCTCTTTGTATGGTCCTTCGTCTTTTACGCTGTTTTTAATCCCGAAGTATCTCGCACACTCTCAAGAAAAAAGGGTGTAAAATGGTGCATCGTTACATCCTTTGTCCCATATAGTACACCCCAAAACTTAAATTCGACGTACAGCGCCCTACAGTAGAACAGACGGCCCGAAATTTTACGAAGGGCTTGATAGCCGTGTGGTACAACTGATTAAAATAGCTAATGTACGTTTTACCGACAACAACAAGAAAATAATCGGGGTTTTCTTGGCCCTACTGCAAAAATTCGGTTTTTTCTTGATGTGGTCTTTGATACGTACTTTAGCTATTTAAAAAGTTGTACCACACGGCTATCAAGCCCCTCGTAAAATTTCGGGCCGTCTGTTCGACTCTAGGGCGCTGTATATCGAATAGAAATTTTGGGGTGTATTACATGGGGCAAAAGGGTGTAACGATACACACCTTTACACCCTTGTTTCTTGAGAGTGTACCAACTCGCCGAAGTCTCAACTTTAGCTCCAGACACGGTTTTGGAAACTAGAGAGTGCGGTACCAGTATATTATGACAGCATGCAAAGTCTTGAAGCAATGAAGGGTACGAAGTGAGCTTCCCTGGAACCTGAGATATTTCAAGACTCTTACTCCTCTGACTCCGGAGTGCCGTAATACTCCCGGGGCTCGGCAAATCTTCAGACGGCACCAAGCAGATCTGAACATATTTGGTTAAAGTCAAGATATCGGGATACGTACGATATGTGAGGGACTTCCGATCCGTCTACGAAGCGTAAAAAAAATCGAAAATCCTTATTAGTATAGGTTGAACAACGTATCCTCCTAATAGAGCAGCTCAAAAGTTTTCTTTGGATGTTGGAGAGGCTAGAGAATGTTTTTAGTATGTGTTTTTTTTTTTTTATGGAGACGGCAATATCTCTTGATACAAAGTACGGTTAAATAATGTAGCGATCCTAAAAGGACTAGTCAATTAGTTCATGGGAGTGTATTGTGACATGTTTGTTTTGTCTGCGTGTCGGTCCGGAGTGAGCTTTCGGGTGTCACTTTGCTCCTAGACCCAATGACAACTCGCGGGTATTTTCGAGCAGGGCTGCACTCACGGGAAGGTAAATAGATTGACCGCGAGGGAAAAGGAAGGCTTGGGCTCTAGGGTTTCGAATGGTGATACAGCAACAGTTTGTACAAACACAGAGATACTCTGGTCAAAAAGAAAGTATCTGCGTACAGTTACTGAAGCATCTAATAGTGCTACAAAGGAGTAAAAAAAAAAGGTGATGTTTTAATGTTTCAAAAGATTCGAAAAAAAAAGGTTTTCGCCGTATTTTACGGTCTAAAGTCCAAACCCGGTCCATAGCTCGCAGAGGAAAATCAGTAGTCAGAAACATAAGTTTATGCTTAGATAGGCAGCATCCGGTGCATAGTCCGAACGTAAAAATTACAATTCATTGCACACCTTGACAAATGCCTCTGCATTAGCTCACAAAGATGGTTGTATCATACATAAATCAGGATTAATATACTCCGTTATTTATAAAATCCTTCACGTCTTGTCACAGTAAATGACCTAAAAAAATTCTTGTATAATCGGCACCTGTTGATAGTCCGCTTTGGTTAGAATTTTAACGTGTAAACATGTATAGTCCGCGGACTTTAGTCCGGAAAATATGGTATTTGAGTGTCTCGGCTTTAAAATAAAGGGATGTATATTATTTCGAGAGATGAACTTTGGTGTGATTGAAAAATTATTTCGCCACAAACCGTAATAATTTGTCTTTTTCTATTATGGGACCGGCATTTTCTTATTTGAATTCATATTGTTCCATTCCTTACAAGAGTTTGTCGCAGAGTTGTGAGGCCCACACCTTTCTAATCCTTTTTAAATCACAGAAATTCAAAATATAAGAGAAACAAATAATGCATTAAGGAGGAGTTGATGATTGAAAATCTCCGTAGAGTTTGTTTTCATTCAGAATGCCTGATATTTTTCCTAAAGCATGAAGGTCGACTAGCTAAGAGGTAGGGAGCAGCTAAATATAAATCTTCTGGGAAGCCTCACACAGGCCGACGACGTTTTGCTTTGAGACTTACAATGTCTTAGTCAAACATCGGCTGCACCAGTCTAACACTACACTGGGGCGTTTCTAATGCTTCTTATGTCGAACAGTCATGCGCATCAAAATTATAAACAAATCATATTAGACAAGTGATCTCTTGAAGGGACTCAAGTAATGTTCTAAATACGGGGATATAAGGTTTTTCATCTTTGCACAATTACGACGCGTGTTTGAAAGGTAATCTCAGATTTATACCTTCTGCTGGTCCCTGGAAACGTTGGTCTGATCTCCCTTTGTATGAACATCTACGCAGTTTTGAAAACGCACATTTCCTACTGCTGTTCATGATGATAGCAATAGAACAGCGAAATAACGCTGCTCATTTGCAGGGATCATGGAGATGCTATGGTACATTGGCCACAAACCTTGGCGTCAATGTAGATGATGAGTGGCAGGAAGAGAAGTGGAACGAGCAGCAACACGGCCAGCTTCCATAAGCACAGCAGGGCCGTGATCAATTTTCGGACGATGATTCGCGACATTGTCTAGCCCGTGCACGTCGTCCCGGTATCCTCCAGTGGGGCACAGCGACTACAGTGGCAACGGCGAAGGGGACGAATGCGGGGGATCGGCGTGAGGACGACCGGAGACTCCATCGAACGGAAAGAGATGCTCCAGGAGCTGCGCTATATATCCCGTAAAGTCAAGCTCCACTAGACATGCGCAGAGCGACCCTTCCGACCTCTTCGATTGTAAAGCAGAGAGAGCAGATTCTCCGAGGCCTTATCGTCCCGTCCGATAGCCCGAATGCCCTATCGCGTTGCGAGGAGCGGTAAGATGGAAAGACGCAGAGGCTGCTGCGAGTTTGGACAAGACAACAGGTCGTGCGACGCTTTCTTTTTAACAACCTGGCACCTGTCGCCGCTTTGAAAGCGACTCGATAAAACCTGGTGGCGGCTAGGTATTTGCCATTATCGAGGTTCCTCCTTTTCGTGCCAGAGTAGATTACACGTAAAAAAGTAGAGAGAACTCGATAAGTAGGCAACTGTCTTACCAGATTAGACTACTTTTGAGAAAGATGGGAGTTCTGAAAGACCACGCAGAGTCATCAGACCAGACAATAACAGAAGAGGCACCAACCATCACGGATAGATAATGGCACTGGAAGATGCCGTGGTCAAGATAATGGTAGGAGGGACGTTTAGTTAACTTAATAAACATTATGTTGACACGGACATTGCGTTGCATGACGCAGTGTCACATGACACCATGGCGTCATGGTGTCACGTCGCGTCACGGTGTAGGTCACGGTATCAGGAGACGTCGCAACGTCACCTGATACCGTGACGCATGACGATCACCACATCACAACATGACACGTGACGTCATCAGCATAATGCCCGTCACACCGATGACATCACGTGAACACCGTACGCTGAATTTAGATGGATTTACGTCCTGCCAACTTTAGCGGGACGTAAATCCGCTACATTTGGCGTGTGTGTGTGTTTGTTTTTATGACGGTCTTTTTTGTGACGGTTTGTGACGGTTTTCCGCAGCGCAACCGTTGTTTTTGACGTTACTCACACTTTCCATGGGAATCCCAGCCCTTGAGTGCGCCATCTATAGTAGCAACTGGGTCAACTATTTTAAGCTGCCATGTTTGGCCGTGAACTGTCAGCGGGTTCATTGGCTTCTTTCTGCAGGGTACAATCACGCGCTTCGCGAAGCAAGCGACACCCAAAAGATGGCAACCACAAATGTAGCTACAAATATGAAGTGTAAAGGGTCATTTGGCTTACGGCACCAAAGCCCGGGTTGTGAAGTGGAAGTTTGCGCTTCAGGTGTCTTTTATCTCTCCTGCTGCTTTTGATTTCTCCTGCTATTTTTTTATTTGCTCTGGTTTTCCACCAGAGGCTTAGCCGGAAAGGTTGCGGAGTGCGTCAACAAGCCAATCCCTTCACTCTGACTGGCCTGTTGTCATGGACGCCAGATCGCCTGGTTTATTGGGCTGATAGAGGCTTACGTAAGCACGCCTCAGTGGTTCACGCACTATAGCCTTTAGCCGGCTTCCAGACTTTCTTAGGCTTCGCAGGTAAGCAAATATGGAAGCCAGCCAAAGGCTAGCGCGTCAATTATTGGGGCGTGTTTAGCTAATCCGTGGTCTTCTCTCCTCTCTACCTTCGTAAACCAGGCAATGTGACGTCCAGAAACACGCGCCAATCAGAGTGCCGAAATTTGCCTGTTGATTTACTCCACAAGCTTTTCCGAAAATGCCTACCGAAGTGCTTCAGCGTGAGAAATACAATGATTGACGCTAAAGCCCAGAGGTGAGCGGTCGCACTGTTTGCGACTATCCCACCTCTCCAGTGTAACAAGCGGCGAGATTATAAACGAAGCTGATTTCAAACAAGTGATACCAGAGCACATAAAAAGCACCCACCAAGAGCCCCTGCACTCTCAAAAAAAGGGTATCACCTTACACCCTTTTGTTCCATATAATACACCCCAAAACTTCATTTCGACGTACAGCGCCCTAAAATCGAACAGACGGCACCAAATTTTACCAGGGGCTTGATAACGGTGCGATATAACTTATTAAATTGCTAAAGTGCGTATCGTATCAAAGACCAAAGAAAGAAAACACGGAGCTTTTGCAGTACGGCCATGAAAACTCCGATAATCTCTTTTGTAATCAATAATACGTACGTTAGCTATCTTAATAAGTTGTACCACACGGCTATCAAGCCCCTCGTAAGCTTTGGGGCCGCCTGTTGGATTATAGGGCGCTGTACGTCCAATTGAAGTTTTGGGGTGTATTATGTGGGACAAGGTGTGTAATAATAAACCTTGTTTTCTGAGAGTGTGGACTCGAACCCCAAAATACACATAGCCCCAAATGGCTGCTTGGCCATGAGGGCTTTGACGGCAATGCCAAGGCAAACGAGCTCGCCCGAGAAAGTCTTCAACCGGGTTCTTTGATACCTTAATAGCCAGCAACCTACGACCCCATCCAACACAGGAAAAGGCTACACTCGGAAAAGAATCACACTCCCCCGACTCTAAGACGAAGATACCTTTGGGTCAAATCCCTCCACACTCCTCACGAGACAACTGCCTGTCGCTATAAGGAGCGCATAGACAGGTACCCTCTTCACAGAGCACTACAAACATTACATCAACGATCTACCCGGGACACCCAGGTGTCCAAACTGCGGGGAATATCTAAACAACAAACAGGCCTTCTGGGAATGCCCAGCTACGAAGAACACACCACTCTAAGACAACGGTCGCGCCGCGGAAAACCGTCACCCGCTAGACCATCCACCTAAGGTCCCTTACATCCACCTATAGAGGATTGGACTGCCCCCCAAAATGGCCCAGGCTGCATGGACCGCGCTAGCAGAACTGGTGAACAAAGTCCTCGGGGAAGGGGGTTGATCAGCGAAGCCTCGGAATAGAGGCATTAGGAAATAATGTTTTCGCTCTCTCTTTCTTTCCCTCTCACTCAAGCTAGTGAACTTGCAAGTAAAAAATACCATGTCTAAATTTTTGTCAGCGTCCTTTTTTCGGATCACACAAAGGGGCAGTGGTCATAGAACTCAATGACCTCGTCAGACATGAGCCCTTTACGATTCCAATTCCTTGCAGACGTCCATTCCGCGAACGAACCCCAAATTTAATGTCTTAAACAAAGAAAAAACAAAAAAGAAATCTCTCTTACTGTTAGTGAGCAAAGGCTACCGACTAAGACTAGTGTAATTTTGGATGTTCTAAGCATAGCTCAGAAATAAAAAGAGTGAACGAACCAACTTCGGGCACTTTCACACACCGCCTTTTATAATCAGCAGCTGCTCTCAACTACTTGACAGATAAGCGTTGTAAATTTCTAGCGAGGGCATAGGAGGACATTGTATCGCTGTAACGCTATCACAAGTTCCTCTTCTTTCAGCTAGCCAGAAAACAAATCAGGCTTCGGTATAAAAACACCGTTTTTTTCTATAGTGCCCAAGTAAAAATGCTAATTATTTGAACAAACATATCATATACCTAATAGAAATCGTAGTGCTATAGTGTAGAACTTAAAAATCCCGATTCGACTTTTTTTTTTCTAAACATTGCTTTTTATTTTAAACAAAACAGACGTAGCTCAGACTGCAATCAAACTGTTAACGTTTGTTAATGTTGCAGAACCCATTTCAAACTATATTATAATGAAAATTGTTTTTTGTTTACATCTGGGCATTGTGAGACGAAATACTTATCAGTACGTTTTCATGGACGTAATCAATTCTGTGATATGTTTTTCACGTCAGTGGTATTTATTAGAAACTTAGATCTTGCCCCATATTTGTTAAAAAAAAAAACACGAAATAAATTGTTGAGGAATCTTAATTTAACCAATTTCATGTTCGTCCTTCAACTTTTTTCAGCAACTGATATATGTTACAGAATGACTGAATGTCAATATTGGTCAGTATGTTTTCAGTGTATTCTTTGGACTAGAAATAATTAAATAAGCGGGAAATTAAAACCATGCTGGGTGCCCCCAAAATTACTTAATGGGTTTATATTTATTTATTTATTTGTTTACTGTCAGGGCCACAAGCGTTACATAAAAGAGTAAAATACACAAGCAAAAAAAAAACAACTAGAAAGATAAAAAAATACACAGTAAAAAGGTTATACGGTAGTTAGGGCTTCTTTAGAAAAAAAGGTTAGTTATGGCAGTACCAAACCGCGTACTATCAGAGATTTCGGCGGTGGGTCCGGGAAGGTGATTCCCCATTGCTGAGATGCTAGGAATAAAAGAGTCATGAAAATGTTTTGTGCGACCAGATGGAATGCCAACTTTGTAATGGTGATCGATGCGTGCTGAAATATAATGTGGGACTGTTAGTAGCCTTTCTTTCTGAATTCAATCGTTATGATAAATCTTTTAAAACAAGCATAGACGAAACAATTTTCAACGTTGTGAAAAGGGAGGTAGCGATAACCTTGTTTTTGTTGCAGCCACACTAGATGTACGATGATAGTTGGACAGTAGAAAGAGGATAAACAAATCTGAGACGTCATGAAAAACTATAATAACACGATGAAGTTCAGCGCATTTCTTTTTCTCATAATTGAAAGCATATGTCGAAGTCGCAACAGGGGGTTACAGTGAAACGGATTTCTTCACATCATGTGCCAAGAATATCAAAACATGCGGCATAAATCTTTATATATTTGTTTTAATGCCGAGTGGATAACTGTTGTTACTAGAATAGCGTCGACCCATGCATTTCGCAACCAAGGTGTCAGAATTCATAATTCGTGTTATTGCCAGTAGAGAGTCTAGCTTCAAGAGAATGTCCAACCCAAGCCTTGGTTAGCTTTTGTAATTTAAAGGCGGATACCTCTTACAAATATATTGGTCTTCTTGCGTATTTTAAGACAGTAAACTTATTTTTCAGTGCCTCCAAGCAGCGACACAGCATGGGGTGATGGTACGAAGATGTACGCTTGTTTCGCCGGTGTGCGGATAACAAAAGCTCGGTTT